CCTCCTCTAAGAAGTTCTGGGCCTCCTCTAAGAAGTTCTGGGCCTCCTTTAGGAACCTGTGAGCCTCCTCTAAGGGGCTTTGAGCCTCTGGGAAACCGGGCCGAGGACCAGATTGGAGGGGCCGAAGTTGGAGAGGTCGCCCATCCTGGTGAGTGTTTGGATTTAGGATGTCCTGATCCAGCTTTTTTATACCGATCCAGGCCTATCAGAGCATGTGTTAAAGTCTAAAGTTATTTATCTACTTACTTAGTTGTCAGACTCATGTTGAACAGGGGTTTACTCTGATAACAACTCAATGGTTAGGACACAGACCTGTGGGTTACAGATGCTAATGCTAATGCCAATACTAATGTGGGATCGGACTTAAAAAAACTGGATCTGCATTTTCTCCTGCCGGCTGAGAGCCAGTTTGTTGCAATTCCAATCTGAAGGACGTTCTTTCAATAGTTTAAGGAAAAATCTACATATATTATCATTATTTCCATTTTCACATAACTGTAAACTGAGAGAGAAAACGACTTAAAAACTCTGGTTGAGAGGCGACTTAATGGTTGTGTGCAGATTCAGACTTAGTGTGAAATTATATGAGGAACCTTTTTAGTAGTTTTAGGTCAAAACTATCGGATTTATCCAAAACAAACATGCTAATGCTAATATGGGATCAGACTTTTACAAAAAAATAGATCTGGAGTCTTGATCTATCTGCATTTTCTCCAAGGGATGTCCCGATCCAGCTTTTTCCAGTTCCAATACGATCCGATCCAGGCCTATCAGAGCACAGTGCTAATCATAGCACAAACTATTCTGTGGCTCTTGAAAAATCAGTCAAAATGCTCAAAAAACTCTGGCAGTATGGGACTCTCTGTTGTGAAAATGGCTGGCGGTCAATGAGTTAATGGTTGTGTGCAGATCCTTCACCTGCCGAGTGGTTCTGAGGCTTCTTCTTCTTCTTCTTCTTCTTCTTCAGGTCAACTAGAAGCTGAGAGCAGAGGCTCTGTTCAGCGTTTCCCGGCGAGGCCCCGCCCCCCCAGCAGCAGCCTGCGGGACGAGGTGGAGCGGCTGTCGGCCGTCCTCTCCCAGGCCGACGCCCCTCCGGACCCGCCCCCCCGCCCGGAGTCTCCGCCCCCCCGCCCGGAGCAGACCGTGCTGCTAGACGCCACCATGGACATCACGCTCGGCGCCACCGCCGCGGCCGCCGAGATCGTCGCCGTGGAAACCAAACCCAAGAGGAGGAGGAGGCCGAAGGGCGCGAGGCGCCGGGAGGAAAACGGGTCATGTGACGCCACCGACCCGTCACATGACCCGCCGGAGCCCCCGTTTCCCAGCAGCCTTT